CACACATTATAATAATTTATTATTTTTAGAGAAAAAAAAAAATTAAAAAACTAGAGAACCTGTGCTTAGCTTTCTTTCCCGCTTATAGAATTTTCTTTTTGTAAATAATTTTTTCCTTAAAATTTTTTTTTTAATCTATAAAATCTAAACTGTATCTTAATCCGTTAATTCATTAATTAATTAATCTACTGTAACTATGTAACTACAGATACAGATAATATGTTTAATTTTTACTTGTTTTTAGTTTTTTTTTTTTTTTTTTTTTTTTAATCTTCTTCATCTTGTGCGACGCTATTACTGCTACACTTATGTTTAAAAGCCTATGAAAATCAATGACAGAAAATCAAGTGATAGTGTGAAAAATTGTTTAAAACAAGATCGAGGAAGAGAATAAAACGGAATGAGAGGGAGAGAAATAGGTAGAGAGGGAGAGAAAATTAAAACATAAATAATAAAAAAATTGCAAACTAATATATAATGAAATTAAAAATTTTAATAAAATCATAATAATTGATTATTATATGAAATATTCTTATTATTATTAAATATATATTTAAAAAATTGAAAAAAAAAAATGTTAAAAAAATTACAATGAAAAAAAAAATTAATAAAAATCCAAAAAAACTTGCAAGAAAACTATAAAATTTATTTTCTTTTATTACCGACTAAGGAAATTATGAAATATTACCTTGAGGGTAAAAGCTTAGATCAGTATGACCTCAAGTTCATATTAAAGAGTTGTCCAGTATTCTGTTAGTTATATACATGGGAAAGTAAATATTAAACTGGAATTATTGTATGAAATTTTTGGATTGATTTCTTTTTTGTACTCTGGCCATTTCTTAAACAGAGATTAATTGTTATTCGTAATTTTTGGTGCTAACTATTACACCGGACTTTAACAGACCACACGACTGTTTTACCATCAAATCCCTGGGGAGGGAGATGGGTCTCGCTATTGAGCAAACTCGATATCGAATTTATAATCTGGGTCGATGGTTTCTCTTAACCAGAATTGGGGGTACCCGATGGCGTATGAGCATTAGCTTGATATCTAATGCAAAGCACCATTTTGTGGCTCAATATTAAAATAGCTATCGAACTTTATGTTCAAAAGGAATTATTTGACAAAATCAATGGAAAGATTACTTAATCTCACAAGTTCCAAAATTTTGTGAAAAAAATTAAATCAAATAATCGTTTTCGATGCTCTTCTCCGCTCGTGCCGCAAATTTTGAAAGGTGATAAAATAATATGGACTTAACGAAAAAATTGCTGAAAGTGACAAAAGTAAAGGTATGGGGTTATTAAAGACTAGGTGAGTACTTTAGAGAAGTGATCTGCAGTATCTCTTTGATCGAAATTTAGTCGCCCAGAGAAAATGGGTGATAATACCATTCAAAAAACCGACCAGTTTTTTAAATCTACGGCGACAACATTCAAGCATATTTTGCACCATACAGCTTACAGCGTTCGTTGGAAATACCAGACGAAAGCATGTAGTGAATAATGAAAAACACCAAACCCCAATAAAGAGACGCATCAAAAATGCAGAAGTTACAAAAATCAAATAAACCTTGTTTGAACGAGAAACCAAACTCGATACGAAAGCATCGAGTACCATCATCTTAAAATGCGATCGTATTGCTTTTGTCATTCGAGACGTCTTCGCGTGGTTATCAGAAAGGATTATAAGAAGAGGAGGAGACGGTGCGAAAGATCACTGCTGGCAGTTTGTTCCAAAGGCGGGAAATATGGTTAAGGGATGACGAGGGGCGGTAGTGTGTTGTGCAACACACGGGTAAGTTCGAAACGGTTGGATGGGAACATTGATAAAGATGTATAGTCTTGTTAAAGGACTTAGTTAGTGGACAAATACTTCTTTATCTCTGTGGAATACTTGCCCTGTATATACTTATGTA